CACTCAATTTATATTGTACATCAAGCTGTTAGTATTGATAGCGTTTTTATCTGAAATGCTACCTATTCAGGAAGTTAAAACATATTAATAACTGCTGCAGTTAATACTTGACAAGAAAAATAAAAACACTTTGTCTTTTTTTATTACTCATTTTTTTCTATATGACATTATTTAAACTGTGAAGTTTCAAAACTTCAAAACAAAACTGCAAGATGCATCAATGAAAAAATAAGATCAACATTCAATGACAGAACCAAAATAAAAAGAACAAAATCTCTGATTTTCTTCTGGAAGGGAAAAGGGAACACATACAACAATCAAATAGTTATGTAACTTTTCTTTTTGATTCTCACTAACCTCGTCAACATTGTTTTCATTTTCTTGTGTTCACTTCATAGAGAGACTCAAATACTGATAGATTTTCAAGTTAGTTTATACGTAATATATGCGTGTGTCTCAACTGTTTGTTAATTTTTCATATGTTTTTCTTTTTGAAGTGATTTAGTAAGAAATATCCCACCCTCACCCAATAGGAAGACCCCTTGAATAATCCATCCCAAAGAAAGAGTAGAAAGGAAAATATCCACACGGGTCAAATACAACCTTTCCAATACTGAACTTCCCCATATTGTCAAAATAAAGTTGTCAACTTCAGCTGAAAATTTCCAACTGCTCATAATAAATATGCATGACAGGGTGGTTGTATATGTGTGTGCAAAGGTCATGAGATATTTCCTATTAAAATTCCATGAATAATTTCATATAAGTTTCAAGGCTATTTGATTGTTTTTATGTAATGTTCAGTATATGTGCTAACTTTACATCATTTTTAATCATATAGAACCTCGATGCAAATCTTCTTAATAACTTACTTTTTATCAAGCAGATTATTATTAATATAGGATATTCATCAAAGTTATTATGTGAAAAAGTATTTTTTCAATGTTTCTACCCTGTTCTGCTCACCAACTATTAATCAGATTTATGTTCATTATTTAAATATAGATATCATTCTTAGTAAAGTATTCTCCTAGTAGCCAGATTTTTTTCTTTTGTCTGTCAGATTAGGAAACTCATCAGATGGCTTCTCTGGGAAAATGGAATGCAGCTGAGAAATTGCACATATGCATATTTTTTATTATTCATGTATGTTGAATTTTTTTACCCTCCTGGAGGGTGAACATTTAATACAATGGGAGGCCTAAGTAGTTCCAACAACCCCATCAAATTGATGGCAATGTGAACTCTTGCAGATCATTTTTTCTAGTAAGATTAATAGGAGAAGGGAAAGCTAAGGTGACTTTGGGCCAGTCACTCACTCTCAGCCCAATTCACCTCACTCCACAGTTGCTGTGGAAAAAAGAAGAGGAGGAAGGTGTGTTGGATGTGCTCACTGCATTGAACATTTAGTATTATTTGTAAAAATAATAAAGACAGGATACAAACAAACAAACAAATAAGGATCATTCTTGGCAAGAATGAGGACAGGTTTTAGTTTTTCAGCTAAAAGGATAGCCCACTCACTTAGGGGGAAAAAATCCAAAATTAATATTACAGGACAATAAGACATCCATTCCTATATCATTATCTCCCCCCCCAAAAAAAAGGCTGTAACATTTAGACAGATGAAAGATCCCATCCCCCTGGGTCAGGTAAACTAATTATCTGGGTATTAAGTAAGAGTCAGAATTTCCTCATATGAGGAAAGATGAGGATCTGGCCAAAGCAAAGCTGCAAAGAAGTCTGGTCAGTGAAGCTGCCAGGATTGAAAGAGAAGCTCCTTACTTTACAAAGAAACATGCAACGTATTGTTTGTTTGCCTGCCCAGTGGTCTTATCTCTATATACATTTTGTGATCATTTCCATCATACCAAACCTTTCAAGTTGTGTTTTCTTAGTAATTAAGCATCAAATAGATTATGGACCATCAAATAACTACACTTTCAAACAAAATTAGACAGACATATCTCAGAGAGATGCCTGCCTGATACTACCTCTCTCATTTCTGTTTCCAAAATATATGAGATTGCAAAAGTTTTGATCTCTTTCTCTTAACATTACAAGGCAAATTTAAGAAGTCTATGTACCCTTGTTGACTAAAATTGATAGACAATGCCAAACATATTTTACTGTGCTTTTTAGAAAAAAGAGTGCCATAATAAGTATGCTACACTTTCTTAGCTGAAATTACACCGCCCCGAATTTCAAGAAATTATTGCACATCTTTACTACTGTCACTCAAAACTGATTAAGAGTAGTGCCATAAATTTTTACACAACTGGAAATGACAATATTTAGATTAGCTTTTATGTTGGCTTTGATATAATTAACTAACTTTGATATAATTTAACTCCCACTTTTTAGCACTGTATATTCTGTAATTCCTGTAATGAGTGGTTTATTTTTTTTTATTAATTCTGTACTATTGTTTGTAAAAACTTATTAGCTTACCTTTTGGCTGTAAAAATGAAGTATTTAACTTTATTGTCTGGCAGCGTATGGGATACAATACTTCTGTATGAAAGGAAGAACTGATTTTCTTTGAACCAAGTTTTATGAATCTTACTTCCTATAAAATTAACTGAAATACTGATAATTTACAGCATAATATTTTAATGGTATTCTAACAATTTAGTATTTTAGTTCAGCATTTCAATTTTTAATTAAATGTATTTTAGTAGTAGTTTGAGACATACATTTCATTCTTACTTTTTTCATAACTGTATAACACTTATAGTCAAATTATGTTTAGCCTCTTTCATTTGCACATTTATTCATTTATTGATCTCTGGTAATCTCTGTTTGTATAACTTTTGAAATGAAATCATAGCAAATGCCAGTCAGTAATCAGAATAAAGTATTTCATTTGATAAAATAGTTTCAAGGACATTGGCATCTCCTTGGCAGAGCCATGAGTTACTATCAAAGGTAGATCAAGATGGCAAGCATTTGTTTACAGTTGTTCAGTCACCTGAAATCAAATACATCTGGTTAAAAAATATCCGTTTTCTGAGCTTACAAATATTTAACATATCAATGCTCCAATTTCTGTATCAGAGACAGACCAGAAATGTTTAACACCTACATGAAACTGAAACTGTTAAGTGGAGTCATCCATCTGTTCAGCACTGATTATACCCTGCTCTACATCTCATCTTTAATAGGGATGGAGAGATGAAACTATCAAGATAATACATGTCTGGAAATTGTTTGGGTCTAGATCATGGTTGTCCAACCTTTTGGCTTGCCTTTACTGGGCTAAGTCAAGAGAATAATTAGTGTATATAAATAACTAATATCTTTTATTTTTTATTACCTTGTGGGGCCAGGATTGCATGCAACCAGCAGGCTGTAGATTGGACATGCCTGGTCTAGATAGACTGTGCCAGAGTATGCCTTTTTCATTCATGTATACATCACCTATTTTGAATATATAATGTATGGGTCTATTATTTGAGATGTCATCACTAGAACCCTTCCTTTTGGATAACTATCCATCAATTTCCGATTTCTCTTTTTGGAGGTTAAGGAAAGGCAGTCAGATGGCAGTTGCACAGAATCTTACATGAAACTGAGTATCTAGACCCATTTCAGTCACGGTTAGTATGGAGATACCACTGTTCATCTTGTTGATGAGTTTAGGTGGAACTGAGATGGGGGTAATGCAACTGTCCTTGTGTTTCTTGATATCTCAATGGCTTTCAATATTGTCCACCAATGTATCTTTCTAGACTGGCCATGGACGTTGAGAATGAGAGACACTGAGTTGCAGTGGTTCATCTTCTTCCTCAGCAGTCTATCATAAGCATTGTTGATGGGAGAGGAGAAATAGCACCCATGGACCCTCAGTTGTGAAATGTCTCAGGGTTTGACACTCTCTCCCCTCCAGTTTCCAGGGTGAAGTCATCTGTACAATCACTCTGTTGATAATCTAAGATTTATTTATTTGTTTGTTTGTGTGTTTATACCTCACCTTTATTGTTTTTATAACTAATTCAATGAGGCAAACAGACAAAAGAGTCCTTTCTCCTTCTATTTTTCCCACAACAGTCCTGTGAGTTGAGTTGGGCTGAGAGTTACTCACTTTCTCAACACTGAGGTTTGCAGATGAAGCTGATGAAGTACTGACCTAGTGTACAGATGGGGAGAAATAGACTTTGGTTCAGTCCTGATAAACCTGAGTAGCTACAGCTATTTGCACCACTTGGGCTAGAGAGGTTTCCATTGTTGGTTTTGATGAATTGTACTTTCCCATTTGAGACTGGTGTGCAGTCTGTGGATTTCTCCTTTTGAGTTCCTACTCAAAGAGCAGGCAGCAACTGTAATCAAACAGATCTTTGGACAGATTCATCTTGTGCAACTTTAGGCTCCTTTGTCACCTGGAAAGCCTTTCAAATGGTCATTTATATACCCTGGTCACCTCACAGCTTAATTTACATTAAATTGGATAAATTAGTGTAAGAAGCAGAATACAGATACATTAAATAATGAATAGTTTTATTTAAAACTATGTATTATTCATTACTTTATCTGAATCCTAAAGAGAAATATTATTTAAAAAATAATCTCCTAAATCCTCCCCTAGGTTAATGAAATGTAAAGTATTGTGTAAGACAAAATATAAAACAATTGATTTAACTGTAGCTGTAATATTTCCATACCTCTATCTGTACAGATACTCAGATAAGCATCCCTTAGGGATGGATAACAACTTTTCTTTATCTCATTCCCCTTTTGTACATTGCAACAGTAGTCTTCAAGCTACAATAAAATGGTACACTTTCATGATTTACTCATGTGAGTTTTTTCCTAATTTGGGAATGTAAGACTGACTATATTAAAGTATCCATATGCCCTTTTCATATATGTATCTACCATTTATTTTGAACATATGAAGTAAGAATGTATTACTTGGAAGATCATCTAGACAATCTGGATTCCCTATAATAGTTTAGATTGCACAGCATTCATCTTAGACAATCACCAAACAGAATACTGACCCTTAGGTGGATTCTTCAGCCAGTTGGTATCTCACTTTTCTGTAGTCTAAAAAAAAGGACAGAATTCTTTATTAACGCTTGAACTTGAAATTATTTTATAATTTAACCAAACCAACAGCCCAACGTTATATTCTTACTACACATGGTTAGTTTGGCTTTCTAAATGTTTACAGTACTCTCAATTAGGAAAGTGTATCAGATTTACTCAAAATCTGAGTGGCATCATTTAGTCAGCATTCTGTAACAATATACTATGTGCTTGCTGTCAATTGATTCGTACTTTTTTCTTATTTTCATTAACAATTGCCAGAGTCATTTTAATAATAGAGATAAATAGTCATTATAATTGGATTCTAACTTTTAGTTTTTAAATCATACATTACTGCACTTTCTCTAGATATCATAATAATATTAATTACAGTTTTCCATGGATTTTAGTATCATAATGGTTCTATTATTAGGTCAATAATTTTACTATTCTATTATTCTACATAATCATTTAATTGTCTTATCCCAATTGCATAATGCCTTGCTATATTAACTTTATGTCCAACATTCTTAAACTTAAAAACTTTAGCTGTATTGCTATAAGATTTTATAGCTTATTTTACTGTAGTAAATTTTTGAGGTATTTAGGCTACATTGATATTCAGTGAGTTAAATGTGACTCTTTTTTTCAAAGCCTGGTTTTGCTGTTCAGCATGGCTAAATTTGGGCCAGTCACGCAGCTGGTTTTCTGCCTAAGGGGGAACTAGAACTCTTGGTCTCCTGGTTTCTAGTCTAGTATCTTAAGCACTACACATGGTGGTTGCCATGATACTTTCTGCAAACACATCTTATAAATTGTGTGAATCTAAGGTGACCAACTGTCCTCCTTTAGGGAGGACAGTCCTCCTTTTGTAAGGTCTGTCCTCCCTCAAAAAGTGTCCTCCTACATGTCCTCCTTTTTGATATTTGAAGACTAATCTGCAGGGCTTATTTTTTCTCATAGAACGCTCAGAATGGCGTTCCGACATCTTTTTTTGATGTTTTCTTTTTCAACTTTTGCATGAGCTGTGCTACTCCCCCTATTGGCTTTTGAAAGCCAATAGGAATTGCTGCTGAGTGTGCCAAAACACCCGGCCGGCAAACTTTGCACATGCAAATTGTCTGCAGCGAAGGCGAATTGGCAGGAACTTTGCACCCCTCCCTGCTACCCAACTACACCATCTCCTAGTTAGTCCCGAAGATACCTGGAGGAGACTGGAGTGGTAAGTTTCTCTTGATCTTCGGCTCTGCTAGGGCAATAATGAATGCGGGCACAAGAGGCAAGGGGGCGGGGGTGCTGCGCGCGGAGATGTGAGGGGCGGCAGTGGCTGGCTGCCCCCCCCCATGCTGTGGGAGCTGCGGAGCCCTCTCTACACGGGGCTGCGCAGGGTGGCAGTGGTGCTGGTGGGGCGGCTGCAGGCAGGGTCTGTTGATAGCGGGCTGCCCCCCAGGGGCCGGAGCCGGCTTGGCTGGTGCTTTGGGAGCCACAGGGCCTGCTCTACACAGCAGGGCAGCGGTGCTGGTGGGGCGGCTCCAAGCGGGGGCGTGGCGGGCGGTTGACCTTCCATGGGCCGGGCCAGCTTTTATGATATTTTTTTCTTCAATTTATTTGTGTCCTCCTTTTCATTGTAAAAAAGTTGGTCACCTTAGTGAATCAATTGTATATATTTCAACTATATACTAGTAGAAAAGGCATAAGGAATTCTAATGAGACAATTACATTATATGTAGGGAGAATAGAGAATGACATAAGATAGTTTGTCCTAATCAAAATATGAGAGTATTTATAGGTCACATATTAAGATGAGTACTTTAAAAGGTATTTAGTCACTGACAAATTGTAGGAAGTTTGGTTTCAATCTTGGAACCATCATTAAATTAGATTTACCAATAGGTAAATTAATCCTAAATCAATTACAAATCAAGACTAGAACATAAAAGTTATTTAAAAGAGGGGTGGGGGAGGAAGAAGAGAAACAACCATCCCCCATGACCTGACACAGAAATGCACTGGCAGTCAATTCAGTTAATATTTTGATGTAACAAATGCTGGTCTAACTTCTAACATCATATAACTAGTTGAATTTTATACCAATTAAAATTTCCAGGCATTCTTTAGAGACAGATCTGTGTAAAACACAATACTTTAGTTTAATATAGATTTAGCTGGATTATGAGTAATTAAGGCAAGATACCAACTCTCTAAGTATGACCATAGCTTATCAAATAAACTCACCATTCACAGTGCTTAACTCACTGTACCATCTCCTTCATGGTTTGGGTAAAGTCCAAAAGTATCCCAAGCAAGCACCCCCATGCAGCAATGGTTCAAAACTATCCAGATCTCTTAATTCAGATCCCCTAAACCTCAAGTATCAGTTGTATCCACTGATCTGAATTTTTTTTCATTTTACTTTCCATTTCCATTACAAAAACCACCAGCAATTTAAGATTTCCATAAGTCTCCTTGGTCTTTTTTTTTTTTTAATTGAAATTTTTTATTTTTTAAAACATACAATCATTTATAAAAATACAATAAAATTTTAAAATAGAGAACCCCCCCCTTACCCTCCCTCCCACCCCCACCCCCCCTCCCTTCACTTCCCAGAGCAGAATACAGGGTTAAGAAAAAAAAAGAAAAAGAAAATTATAATAATTAAGAAAAAAGAAAAAAAAGAGAAAGAAAAAAAATATCATAATTAACCTTTAACTCCATAACTTATAAAACAATTCTCTATAATATTTGATATTCATTCATAAAATAAATAAAACTTTTTAATTCCATATTTTTTCTGAATATAATCTATCCACCTTCCCCATACAGTAATATATCTTTCTTGTGTATGATCCTTTAAATAAGCAGAAATTTTTGCCATTTCTGCAAAACTAGATACTTTAAATATCCATTCTTCTAAAGTAGGCAAAGAATCTTTCTTCCAATATAGACCTACTAGTAACCTTGCTGCAGTTAATAAATTCAACATCAAAGTAGTTTCTTTTTCATTTAAGTCAACAAAAATACCAAGTAAAAATAGTTGAGGAGTAAACTTTATCTTCTTTCTAAAAATCTTTTGAATGTTCCACCAAATCATAATCCAAAAAGCCTTTACTTTTTTACAATTCCACCAAATATGAAAGTATGTCGCATCATTATTGCCACATCTCCAACATTTGGGCTGTATGTTGGAATACATACAAGATAATTTTTTAGGATCTAAATGCCATCTATAAAACATTTTATAAAAATTTTCTCTCAAATTTTGAGCTTGTGTAAATTTAACATTTCTTATCCAAATTATCTCCCATAAATCCAATGAGATCGGCTCCTGTATATTCTGAGCCCATTTAATCATACAATCTTTAACCAATTCTGTTTCCGAATCTAACTCTAATAAAACATTATATATTCTTTTTATATGAGCCGGACCTTGGTTTTTAATCTGAATAACCAATTGTCTATCTTCTAGTGTTATTCCCTCTTTCTTGTCTACAGTCCATCTATCCATTATTTGTAAATATTGAAACCATGACTGTAGAATATTTTGCTGCCTTAATACATCTAGGGATTTCAAATGCCAATTCGAACCAGAACAAATTAACAATTCTTTATATGAAATTTTATCAAAATTTGTCCCCTTAGAGGTTCCCTCAATTGCATGTCTGGGAATCCCCCAGATAGGTATTTTATAATTTAATCTATAATAATACTTCTTCCAAACACGAAGTAAGGCATTCCTCAAAATATGTGATTTAAAAGTACGATCAACTTTCTTATTAAAAATTAAATATGCATGCCATCCTTGGTCTTAAGATGAAACGAGAAGTAAGAATTTAGTGTCATTAACATATTTGGACAAATGTTTAGATTATTGCACCCAGGAATTTCATGATGGTATTAAATATCATAGATATAATTATCTTGTCCCACATCATCATTTTCCGATACACAAGCTCTAGGAACAAACAAAATGACTATTACACAGTATTCCTCATATTCAGCATGTGATATGATTCAGAAAAATACCAAGGTTACAAGATTTTAATTATCCTGAAATCCTTAAAAATCTCAGACATTTTGAACAAGTGAACAAAGAGAACGTTCTATAAGCATTTGCAAAAGATTATGATTTAAACCAGTTTAAGTGTCTAGTTATCTACTGTTGTACACTTAGTTGTCTTAAGGGTCTGTTGGAACCTATTATATTTCAAGTATTCCCTATAACACACTGAATATCTAAATATACCATGCAACAAACAACGCAGAAATAAAAGTGTAATGTTGTCTGAGAAACAGTCTCCTATTATACCTTAGAAAGATATAGTTCAAAACTCTCATTTAATTAAAAGAAATGTTTAGTGCCAATGCCACATTAGATACTGAAATGCCTGCAAATCCTTACTAACATACAAGTATTCGCAATCGTAAAAATATTGTATAAAATCTTTTGCATTTGCTTAATGTATCACAGAGCTGCCCTTGCCCCCTTTTTTCCTATTCAGTAACTTAGTTATCACTCACACTAAGATATTCATAATACTGACTCAATTTGAAACTCACATCCAATACAAAATAGAGTCATGGTTTTCTATAATAAATACAATCCATGCCAATACTTCTGACTCATAAAACCATCATAGCTTCACTGAGTGAGTTGTCAGCTTTCAAAAACATTCCAGCCCACTGAATTATTGAAAGACATACCCATCTTAAACGCTTTCATTTATGTCTTTTCAAAAGGAGTGTCCAGACTGCGCTGCTAGAATGTTGTGCCACAAGAAAATCTGCTCTGGAGCATAATACAAATATATAAATATAAACAAACATTTAAGAATTTTACTAATGGTTATGTTTAATGGAAAATAAACATTCTGATATAGGTATACAAGACACAAGATAATGGCCTCTTGTGAGATTTCATAATGGCTCAGCCATTTTAATTCTTTCTATTTTAGAAACTAATTTTTATTTTTTTTAAACTAATGCTCTTAAAACATTTTTAACATTGTCCAAAGCCATGT